TGTGAACTTGGAGGGTTGCTGTGTGCTTAGCGCTGTGCTGGGTACATTATTTGCATCTGTGTCCGTAATCAGTTTAACAGTCCGAGAGGTGTGGGTATTATTACCTCAGAGAGGAGGAAACTGAGGCTGGAGACCTACAGGAACTCATCTCTCTCCTCTTCACCCCAAACGATGTTTTGGGGTCATTGAGGCCATGTGCTAGGCGGTCTCTCCCACAGTGGATGCTTGCCTCCTCTGCGAGTCTGATCGGATGCCTGGCTCCGTTTATTTCTGATCCTTGAGCTGTTAGAGATCCTGAGTTATCAGCAGAAAAGATGCATTATGAATAAAAACACTGATAAACAGTTGTCCTAGGAAACTGAGTCCTTAACGATGTCCTTCTGAGAACCACTCAGCACTCCACGGTCCCTGGGTCTCCTCAGAGGGTACCTGCTGTGACTCTTTCTTCTAGAAACTGGATGAGGGACTTGCAACCCAGATTTTGAGTGGTCTATAAATGAGGCTTCCTGATTCCTGAATTATTGTATACGGATGATCTTACACGTTTAATCGTGACATCACATTTGGTGTATGTTGATCTGTACTGGACAGGATGAAGTGCGGTTCATTTGAGGCCATTCTGAAGGGCCCATGGGAGGTGGTCTGCATCCCTGGAACACCTCAGGAGTGTTTCAGAAAGTTTCCCCATTGACTTCTGTGAATCTTCAGGGTTAGCTGTGTGTAATTTGGGAGTTTGGACCCTTTGGTTCCCGTATGGATCATAGAACTACAGCTTCATAGCTTCAGGAAATCCTCAGGTCATTTGGACCAAACCCCTTGTTTCATTCATTATTATCTATTCTGCAGATATTTACTCAGTAACTAACAGGTGCTAGGGCCAGCCCATGCTTTCAAGGAGCTCCCACAGCCTGTGGGAGAGATGAGTCCTGGACAGGGGGTGATGAAGGCATGGAGGTTTGCCAAATACAGAGAAGCTTTCCCCAAAGTCTGTTCCATGAAATAAATGCCATGGGACCAGGTATACTGGGGCAAAAGGTTTCGTGATATAATAGGTTTGGAAATGTTGGCGTATGGATGTTGGCGGAGAGTCCAGAAAGGTGCCTGATTCCGAGAGTCTGGAAATGATACTTTCAATGATAATGATTATTTTGAGAATGTGATATGTACCTGGCATGGATGTAAGTGCCTTATGTGGATAATTTTATTTTATAAAATCCAGTGATTTGGGCGGGCCATAATTTATAAACTGCTTTTGTATTGACAGAGATTTAGATTATTTCCCACTAGATTTTCATGGGCTAAAGATTGATCTTTTTACTTCAAGAAGGGTTTCTCAGTGCAGTGGAATATTATCCAGGCTTTAAAAAGGAATGAAATTCTGACATGCTGCAACATGGATGAACCTTGAGGACATTATGCTAAGTGAAGTAAGCTAGTCACTAAAAGAGAAATACAGTAGGATCCCTCTTATAGGAGGCACTAAGAGCAGTGAGTTCATAGAGATACAGATAGACAGCATACTGGTGGCTGCCCTGTGCTGGCAGGAGCGGAAGTGGGGCATTATTGGTTAACGGATACAGAGTTTCATTTCTGCAAGATGCAAAGTGTTCTGGAGATGGGTTGTGCAACAGTGTGAATGTACTTAACACTCCTGAGCTTAAAGATGGTTAAGATGGTACCTTTCATGTTATGTGTTTGTTTTTAACCACAATAAAACAAAAATACTGTTTTGGCAAAAAAGGCATACGGTGAGAATTAAAATTCACAAATCATGGGATATGATGGACTTCAAGTTGGTATGCATGTGAATATACACATCTGTGTGCTTAATTATTTTAACTGGGGTTTGAGATGAAAAAAAATCAATTGGAGTAGTTTTGTTCTACTTTAAAAAAAAGAAAAAGAGGGCTTCTCAAACTTTTGAAGGCTTTGCCAGTTGATGCCCATAAAAAGGGGACTTTGGACTTGAATGTGGTTGCTTGAGTTCCCCTTGAGGCTTGAGTGAGCACGGGCTGGTGTCTCTAAAATTTGTTTTTTTGAGAAACTGTTTGCACTTACTTGAACTATTTGGCTGTGTTTCTGAGTTAGTGTGTGAGAGCTGTAAGTTGAAGCAAAGGTACTAGGAGGAGGGACCGTAGTGATTTGGGGCTGGTGATCGGGATTTAGGCCAACTCCCTCATTTTATAGAAAATGAAAGCAAACGTTGTAAAATCCATGATTGAAGTTCTCTTTAAGAAATCTTTATGTTTTTGACCCTTTGTTTTAAAAACCACGTTGATTGGTGGGGACAGATGGGTACTAGGCTTACGGTGATCATTTCATAACGTATGCAAATGTCAAATCACTATGTAGTACACCTGAAACTAACAAAATATGGTATGTCAATTATATTTCAATGAAAAAAACCCTATTGATTTCAGGGGGACAATGGCATTTTACAAAGGGAGAAACTATTTCAAACTTTTGTGTAAGGATCCTATAGACTGCGTGGAAGTACAGATTAAAGAAAATTCGAATGAGGGTCCAATCCATTAATGAGTTTTCAAAACCTTTTAGAGCCCATGTTCATTACCTGCCATTTCTCTGCGTAGAGCATCCTTCCACGCTGATCAATTCATATCTGCTCTGAGACTTCCTTTTAGCAGCGGCAGAGTTCACATCTCTGTGGCTGCACCGTAATTGGCTCCATACTCTCCGTTACGTGTTAGCTTGTTCTTAGCCTTTCACTGTGATAAGCGCCCTTGGTCTGTGCATCCTCGGGCCAAAAAGCCACATGCATTTAGCCAAGCTGCCCTTCTGAATTTATTACCCATCTCTCCACTATAAGTTTCTTAAAAGTCTTATCAAATTGAGCATTGTTATAGTTTTTAAATCTTTGTCAGTCTGATAAAGAGATTTTTTTTGGATCACAATTAAGGGTCCTGAAAATGTTTGGTGTGTGTGTTTGTATACTTCTTTTTTGGGGAGGGGAGAGAATCTTCATATCCTTTGCCCATTTTTCTTCTTTTAAGTGTCCCTGGTTTAATTTCACTGCCGTGCCTACTTAGCTTGTATTCCCCCCCTCTGAGTTCTTTTTGTCCATCTGTTTAATAGTGATAGCTCACAAGGTGTGGTCCGAGTACCTGCAGCTCCTCGGGAAGAGTGGGGTCGTTATGTTTTTAAATATCTCAGAGTACCCTATAACAATAGCTTAATTGGTTCCCTTCTGGAAGGTCTTCTAGTCCACGCCCTCAGGCCTCTGCTGCCCACAGTATTTTGGGAGTTCTTGAGAATTCCAGGCTTTTTCTTACTGGGCAGCTTCTCCGTTTGCCTGTACTTGAATCACTGAGGAGATGTTGTTGATACAATCCTGTTTTTTATCTCTGGTTCCCTATCACTTTTCACCAGGGATGTACAGGCTCCCGCACCTCTTCCTACTTTATATTTGTGTGTTCATTTTAATGAGGGCAGGGAGTTTATCATCATTTACAATAGGAACTCTTGGTGTATTTTGGTAAATAACTTCATATTGAGGGCTGTAGTTTCCCTTCATCACTGACTGCACCATGTTGAGTAAATCTCTGTTAACTTTCCTCTTTTTTCTCTTTTTTTCTTATGTAAAAAAAAAATGAACTATAAATATATCATTACTAGAACAATAATTCTCAAACTTTCTTGGTCCCAGGAAAATGATTGACGATCCCAAAGAGCTTTTGTTCATGTGTGTCACCTTGATTTACATATATTGTATTAGAAATCAAAACAGAAAATTTTAAACCACAAGGATTCAGAAGTACACATTCCCTTCGTTAACCTTCAGAACAAAGGTATCATCACACATCATGGAAATCTCTGGAGAGCTCCATCGTACCATCTGTGAGAGAATGATAGTGAAAGTACCTTAGAAAATCATTTTGACCTTGCAGACCGTTTAAACTGGTCTCAGGGAACCCCAGGGGTTCTCAGGCCACACTTTGAGAACTGTCCTGCTGAAGAATGTTTCTCAGGCTTTCTGTCTTGTTCATAATGGTCATGTTTGGCATTTTTTCTGGGTATATGTGTGCATACCTACAGTATGTGGTATGTGGAGGTGGGCTGGGAGGAAAGGGGCGTAGCTGAATTGAAAGTTAATGTCTAAGGCAGTAGCGCTCTCCTGAACCGTGTGGAGACATCTCTTGCATGTAGGTTTGCTGTTAATGGAACCAAGTGGGGTTCTCAGTAGCCTCTGCCATGCACCATCCCTTTTTTAGCAGGTATTTTTTAGGCCCATCCAGATTTTACGCGGGGGTGTGGACCCTGGGTCAGGCTGATGTTGCTGGAATGGCCCCTAGAGAGAGTGACCTGCTAGTCCCCAGACCCTTAACCTGCTGCCCTTAGATTCCTGAGAGCCTATGAATGGGCTGATTTTCCTGAACCTGCGTGTGTTTTTTTTGGCATAAGGTCTGTAGTTTGCATCATATTCTTAAAGAAGTCTTCTAACTTCATGCTGTAGCTTAAGGTTGCGGCATGCCTTCAAGCTCTTGGAGAGTTGAGAATATACGGTGGTTGGAAAGGGTTTAAGAGAGGTATCACATCTTACATAATTCAATATACAAAAAAAAAGATGGCTTTTTTTTAGAGGGGTGCATGTCTTCCCCAGGATGCTCGTGCATAGCTCTTCCCACACTCCACGTGGCTGCCAGGTGACCTGGGTGTGCTCATTTCAGGGTAGGTGCCATCATTTTAGCTGTGGTCCAGTCTGTTGATTTGCTTAGAGCTGCTTCAAGACAGGTTTCAGGTAGTAAATGAAGCCACACCCTCTGTATTTTGTTCTGCACTGGGACCTGATTGGGTGAATGGAACTTCACTTGCAGTTCTTTTATCGAAACTGAAGAATTCAATTGGAAGTACCTTGGCTTGAAGGAAACAGAATTTACAGTCTGATCCCACATCATCTCGGGGTCCTTATTTTCTGAAGATTCTGTTCTTTTTTTTTCAGAGACTCTAAGTCACTGAGCTCCTCTCTCTGGATTGTCCCATAGATTCCCCGTGAGGAGCCGCTGCTGGTGTGCCAGACCTCCTGGGGGCCGTCTGCCCGACTGCCCCTGACTCCGGCAGCGGGGTCCCCGATGGCAGTGGGCACCTCCCCGTGAAACCTGCCAAGCTGGACGCCACAGCTCTGCACGACGACACTTTGGCCAACTCCGTGCCCCCTTCGGAGGCGTGCAACCATGCAGTCCTAGCCTGCAGCCCGGGCATCCCTGAGGAACACTATGTAAGCGAGGCTGTGGAAGATGCTCCCGGCTGCAGAGGGTACCGGGATGCCTGCACCATCACTGGTAAGGGCGCCTCTCCCTGCCAGGGACGGGGGAAGTCAGTGAGGGCCGGGGAAGGGTGGGGCCGTAGGAGTGGGTCCCGGGGAGGGATGTGGAGAGTGGGGAGGGGCTACCGAAGTGCAAAGAGTCTGAGCTTTGGGATCGTGAGACTGGCCATCCAGAACTGACTTGTCTGAGATGAAGACAGCGCCTCATAGAACTGTCGTGAAGGTTAAAGACGGGATCACTGAACCTTGAGCAGCGTCCCTGGCCCGTAGCGGGGCTCAGTGTAGTTTGGCCCCCTGCCCCTCTCTCTGAGGCTCAGTTTCTTCAGACATAAGATAGGTGTAATGGAAATAACATGCCATGATGCTGTGGGCTGCAGCAATGGGGAACTCCCTGCAGCACCGTTTGTACACTGTCAAGTTTTGCACAGACAAAAACTTTGTCGAGTTTTGTCAGTCATGCCTTCCCAGTGTCTCGAGAACAGGGCGCTCATCCCCCAGCGCACTGGCAACATCTGCTCTTCAGGCACATTGTAACGGAGCTCTCGTTTGTGTCTTTCCTCAAGGGATCATTGAGACAACTGCTTGGAGCCCTCACAGGAGGGGGCTCTGAGTGGGAATGGTGTGTAGTTTTCCCCTGTTCTCTCTCCAGTTAGGCACTGAGGGCCCCCAGCCCCACCCCACGTCAAGAGCTTCCTGGGTGTGAGGGACTTGGAGGTGCCGGGATCCCAGCCGAATGCCTGGGTGCTGACCCCCTGAGCTCCCGATGGCACCAGGGGCCTCCCCTCCACGTGTGCACTAAATCCTACTGCTGCTTGCCTGTTGCCCTGAAGGACACGCTTCCGGCCCCCGCCCTCTCTCTACTACACCATCCGTTTCTCCTTGTGCCTGGATCTTCCCTGTTAGCACAAAAGCATGCTATCGTCGCTCCCTTCTTAAAAAGAATCCTTCTTTGCTCTGCTTTCCCTGCAGCTAGCGCCTGTGTCTCTGCTCTTCGGTTTGCTCTGTTTTTCCTCCTGTTTTTCTCCTGTGTCCACCGCGAGCAGGCTTGTGACCCCACCGTGCCCCCAGTGCTGACGGCCTCATTCGGTTCAGGGGTCCATCCTTAGCCTTTTCAGCAGGAGTTGACACGGCCGACCACCCCCTTCTCCTGGAAATACGGTCCTCCCTTGGCTTTGGGTCCCGACCTTGCTAGCTGCTCCCCTCTGGGAACTTTGGGGGCCCCGGGGCTCAGCCCTTCGCTCTCTCGGGTAACCCACGCCCTAAGTGATCTCACGCGGGCTCCGGGATTTAGAATCTGCTTCTACGCTGAGCACTTTCCAGTTCCTGTCCTCAGACTGGACCTTTGCCCCGAAGGCCAGATGTGTCGGTCTGACTCCACATAACAACACTTTCACTTGGACGCCTGTTGGGCATCTCTGACTAACTTGGCCAGAAATGAACTCCTGATTTCCCCCTCCACCTGCTTTCTTTGCAGTCTTTCTAAATGGTACTTACATCCTTCCAGTTGCCCAGGCCAGAAGCCTTGGAAGCATTCATGACCTCTGTATTTCTTTCAGACCCTGGTTTGCTGGGAAGTCTGTTGACTCTTTGTTCCCAGTGTGTCCAGAGTTTGACTGGTTCTCACCAGCCCCACAGTAACTACCCTGGTCCAAGCCACCTTCATCTCACGCCCGGATCATTGCAGTGGGCTCCTAACTGGGCCTCCTGTTTCCCTTCTTGCCTCTGTGCAATCCAATCTCTGCCCAGCCAAAAGAGTGGCTTTTTAAATACAACGTCAGGTGGTTTAACTCTTGTGCTCCAAACCTCCAGCGGGCTCCCTTCTGACCGTGGCCTAAGTGACAGAGCTGCCTGTGCCCCTTTGACCTATCTCCTCTTCACTCACTCCATTCCGGACACACTGGCCTCCTCACTAATTCTTGGATACACCCAGCACATCCCACCTCAGGGCCTTTGTTCTTGCTGCTGCTCAGCACCTGGATCGCCTTAACCCTAGATGTCCTCCTGATTCCTTCTTTACTTTCTCCAAATGGCATTTCCTTAGAGGCCTTTTGTGACTCCCCTGCATAGAGGGTGGTCCACACCCCCCTTCCCCATCTCCCTTACCTGCTTTAGCTGTCTCCCCATACTTAGCCGTGAGTACTACATGTTTGTATTTCGTTGACCAAACTTACAGTAGAATAGAAACTCGCTAAGGGCAAGGACTTTGTGCACCACCGAGTCCCAGTGTCTGAAAGAGCGCCTGCCTGTGGCCAGTGCTCAGTAAACATTTGCTGAATGAATGAGTTGTGTCATTTAATTAGTACTGCATCCCCATTAAATGGAGACTGTTGTCCTGTTTTTACAGGTAAAGAGACTAAATCAGGAAAGGTTCAGCATCTGGCCTAAGATCCTGAGCTCTAAGGGGCGGGGCTTGCGTGTAGGTCATGACCCCCGGGGTATGCGTTCCCTGCCACCTGCCCCCCACCCCCCACCAAGGAATACTGTCCAGTTGGGTGGGGACGTAGATGAGTGAGTGGAAATAGGCTGTGCAGAATGGTTACACCAGTGATAAGCACAGCACACGGGAGAGCATCAAGGAGGGTGCCTGGGTGAGCCTTGGAGGGGAAAGGATCCGGGAGACTAGGAGGGCTTCTCGGAGGAGGCAGTGTCCCAACTGCATCTTCATTTGTCTAAACACGTGAGCTAATCGCTGGGATTCTAGTGGCATCTGTGCCAGTGAAATCCGGGAAACATTTAGCTTGCTAAAGTCGTTTCGCTTTGAACATGACAGCCGAGGGCAAAGTAATGGCAGAATTGCAGTGCTGAAACTTCAGAGGCTATGGGGCATGGTAACTGGGGGTTCTTTGCGGGAACATCTGTAGCAAGCACCATAGGACAGCTGAGAAGCAGCTCAGTGCTGTCATGTTTGGCAGTGGCTTGGTAAACAGGAGCGTAAACAGAGACACGGTTACGTGTTTAAGGTGCAGCCCGACAACGCAGAACACGCTCAGGTTAAAGTCTCATTTGTCGGTCACTGAGAGGAAGACACAAAACAGAAAACATTTCCCAGAGATCTGGAGTTTCTCCGAGAATGCGTATGTGGACTCCAAGGGCTTTGCCAAGTGCAGTCCTGGGAGACCGTTTGGCACCCGGCCTCTAATAAATCCATGCCACCCACAGTTCCTGGGGAGCGCTGAGATGAACAGCAAGCTTTTTGTTCCTCTTTAATTTTTAGGCAAAGCCCAAATGCCCGTCACAAAGCCCTGCTCCCCCTCTCCCTCCTCTTATCCTCAACCTAGAGATATCACATTTTGGGGTGCGTCATTTTCTTCTTGGGGCAGTTTAACAAGATGAGCCGATAGGGTGCCCATGCTGCCTCTAGTTACGTAACCCATTGTACTTCCAGGGCAGCGAGCAGTCTTAGGATTTGCCCCAACAAGCAAGCTCAGAGAACTGCTGAGTAGGTGCAGAAGCTGGCTGTGCTGAGGTGCTGCCTGGGTTGGGTTCTGATGGGGGATCGCTGTTCGCTCTGAACTGCCGTTGGAGTTTCCCTCTGCACATGGCATTGGTATTTCGGTTTGAGCAGCCCGTGAGGGCCCAGCCTCTGCCAAGACTCTGCCCAGGCAGGCTCATTCGGACAAGCTCACGTGGTAAGTGTGTTTGCCCGGCATGTCCGCTGTTGCTTTTCTTTGTGAAAGTTGCGGCCAGAAGGGTGAAAAGGCCACGGGGAAAGTTGTTTCTCTCCTGTTCTGTTCGGCTTGGCGGGTTGTCCTTGGACCTGGGGTGGGGAATTGCAGTATCGAGTTATTGACAGGCAGAGCAGAGGGACCTCGGAGGCTGCTCACCCCTCAGCCCCTCATCCAGGCTCAGGGGAGGCAGGTGACCCCTGCAGGGCCATGAGCAGTGGGTCTGAGTTGGGACCGGGCTTCTGGACTCCACCACCTTGCTCTTTGAAATTCTCTGCAGTGACTGACCACAATCTCTGAGGCCCCTTCTGGCCTCTCCTACTGATTTTCCTGATCCTGTGTCCTATCCTGGTTTCTTAAAGCTTCACCTGGTGTCTGGGTCAGCAAGGAATTTTTCAGGTGAAGAACAGGGTCAGGCAGGGTGTCTCCCCCGCTCCTTCTCTCTTTTCTGCCCCACTTTTCTTTTTTTCTGCACTAAATGTGCTTGGCCCTGTACCTCCATCCACACCCCGGTGACGGCGAGCTTGCTAATCAGTTCTGCTCTGGCTTGTCTCTTGATGTGGGGCTGACGTTTCTCCTCGCTTCCTCCAGGCTGATCAGAGTCTGATGATTGATGACCCATCTGGTTTCTGTCCTGTCTATATGCTGTTACTCACAATCTGCTGGGCCACAAACCAGTGAGTTCCTCAGCGGCATGAGCTCCTCTTGCCCTGTTCTATTCAGTTTTAGGTTTCAAGACAGATGAGACTCTGGATGGGAGATAATGGAGATGCTGTGGGGTGTGTGTGTGTGTGTGTGTGTGTGTGTCTGTATATTTAAAGTATTTTCAGGCTTGTTCAATAATTCTGTTCAACTGGCATCTGTTCGAGGCCAGCTTTTTGCTGGTGTCCATAGATGAGCTCTGGCCTCTCCCTCAGAGCCCTGGAGGTGGGCAGCGGTGGAAATGACTCGCTGTGACCCCGGACAGGATTGCTGCCACTATGCTTACGGGAACTGTCCTGTCTGGTGTCCTTGTCATCACAGGGCCACCATTTCAGATTTGTTCCTTTTCTGTCACTGATTTAAAGCCATCAGAGTTGATGATTTGTCCTCTGAAAACATGCTCAAATTAAAGTATTATGGACTTCTTTTATGAATTGAATGTAAAATCTTGCTTGTCAGTTCCTGTCTAGAATAAAACTTTTACTGTGTT